CTCTCTCTCTCTCTCTCTCTCTCTCTCTCTCTCTCTCTCTCTCTCTCTCACACACACACACACACATACACACATACACACAAAAGTTCAAGACTAGTTCAAGACCCACTCTCAAGAAACAAAAGCTGAGGTAAGCGCAGCTCATTTGTTAGAATGCTGGCCTAGGATACACAGAGCCCTAGATTTGATCCCTGCACCACATAAAACCAGGGGCTATGGCATGAGCTCATAATCCCAGCATTTGAAAAGTAGAGGCAGGATGATCAGATGTTCAAACACAGCTTCAGCTACAATAGCTAGTTTGAGGCCAGCCTGGGCTACATGGGACCCTGTTTCAAAGCAAAGTAAAATGAAAATTAAAAGCCCAGGAGTCTGGCCTTGTTATTACATCATAGAGCCCAGAGGGCTTGGGGATGGCTGGAGGTGTCCCTCCAGGCTGTAGAATTCATGCAGGTACTCTCCATTCTCAGCTCCCTAGCTACCAGTACCCAGTTCCCCATTCTCATCTGACACAGTGTCCTGCATCATCCTGACATACTTAGGGCAACTTTGATTCTCCAGCCCCCGCCCCCAAAGTCACCCTCAGTTCCTCTTGTGTCCTCTGAGGGTCTTTGTTGGCTGGCATGTGGAATGCCTCTACACTCAGGACTCTACACTCAGGATCTCAGCTAAGCCTCACCCTGTCAGGTGAGGCAAGTATTTCTGTCCCCATTTCATAGATGGAGAAACCAGGGCTCAGAATGGCCTAGGACCTGGCCTTGCCCAGTATTGCACAATGATGTGAAAAAGCTGGGGCTAGAACCCCAGGCTGGTGTTCCTGGGGAGCAGCTCTCTGGATCTTCCCAGAATAGTCCAATAGACTTACGTGGGCAAAGGAGATGGTGCCAGTGGCCAGCTGCTAATGGGTCTCTCTGGGCCATGCAAGAGAGTTGGTGGTTGCCTGAACAAAGCCAGGCCGTGATAGACAGACAATGAACAGAGACAGGACTTGGAGAGGAAGAAGCAACTGATCCCACAGACAAAGAGGGTGGGATGTCAGAATCCTCTGCAAACCTGTGAGGGGCTGCCCACTAATTCTGTGTCTTATTTTGCTTTGTTTTCTCGGTGTTGGGAATGGAACCCAGGGCTCTCTGTATGCCAGGCAGCCCTATACCCTGTACAACTATAGTTCAACTCTTTGTACTCCGTGAGGTTTTTTTAAATCTTGTTTTGTTTTTACATTTATTCATTTTGTGAGTGTGAGTGTGTGTGTATGTGTACCCCTCCCCTGACACGTTCCACCACAAGTGACGATGTCAGAGGACAACTTTTAGAAATTTGTTCTCTCCTTCCACTAAGTGGATAAAAAACTCTGGTGACAAGCACCTTGAGTCCTCTGGTGGGCCCTCTCTGACATCCAAGGCTAGATGCAAGAGAGCAAATAGAAGCCACAGGAATGTAGATCCAGGTTCCATAGAAAGCTGTTCTTAATAATGTGCGTTCTCAACAGCCCAGATTCAACCCAAGTCCTACCATGTTCTTGGGACATCATGGGTCCTTTGCTGCAGCGAGACACCTGAGCTTCAGGCTGGCTTCTTTCAACATAAACGCAGAGTCTGTCTCATAAAATAGCTGCCAGTCCCTTTGTTTAAAGGGGTTCCCACAGAGACCGTGAGATGTAGTTGAAGGTCTGGACACTCTAGAGCAGAAACAAGGTTTGAATCCCAATTCTCTAGTTTACTAGCTAAGTGCCCCTGGACAGGTGGCTTGGGATTTTCAGTTTTCACTTTTCTCATCTGTAGCATGGGGTTAAGAACAGCTACACACGAGGTCATTAGAAGATCAAAGGAAATATCATGTGCCCGGCAGAGCACAAGCTCATGGAAAGCCAGTGGGTTTTCTGATGCTGGTGTGACTGGGGGCTGCATCATAGGCTAGAGGAATGTGCTGGGTACCCACTAATGTTGTATGATTCTGTCCCCCAAGTATCAGGAAAACAGCTAAGAAGCAACCAGGAAGCAGATTGACTCAGCATAGGAAACAAACAGACCCTCACGGAGGTCCAGGGAACTTTCTTGCCTTTGCTCTGTCCCACCCCCAAGCCTGGGATTGAGATGAAGATTCTCCTGCTTCCTGTAGGACCTTGGTATCTTTAGTCCTGTAAAGGTGGCAGGAATCCCCAGACAGCCCAGCCCACCCTGGGAGCCCTGCCTCTGCACAGCGTGGGGCTGGAAAGTTCTGACTCGGTCACCACCTGCTATAACCACAAACCCCGAACTTGCCCAAGCCTCCAAACCAGCAAGATGACGTGGCTTAGCCTGGAAGGTGGTGGTGGCCTCTGAGTGCCAGGCGCCCAGCAGGGCAGGGAGGAGCACTTGGCAGCCTGTGGACAAGCCTGCGGCCTCCACCCTGTGGGGCTACTCAACATCCACGGTCCCTCTGTGTGTGTGTGTGTGTGTGTGCCAGAGGTCAACATCAGGTGTCTTTCTCAATTCCTGTCCACTGAACCTGGAGCTTGATAGTTCAGCTCAGCTGCTGGCCAGTAAGCTACAGGATTCTCTTGTCTCCTCCTGACCAGTGCTGGAATCACAGGCATGTGTGCTGTGTCCAGTTTTTTTTATGTGGTGCTCAGGATCCAAAGCCAGGTTCTCATGCATGCATGACTATGCCCCTCAACTACCACAGGCCTTAGAGCTAGAAGATATCTGAAGTCCCCCCAACCAGTGGGTTTTGCATTCTGGAACCAGGAGAGGTGGGGTGGGATTGGTAGTTTGTGTATTAGTAAACACCTTGATGGGAATACCTTTCAGCCCAGTGCCACACCCTCAGAAGACACATGAAGAAGGGGACCCAGGAGGGGACAAGGCTGATGTGTGCCGACATAGTAAACTGGATGAAAACCCAGATGTTTAGACTTTGGTACAGGGTGGTCTTTTTGTCAGCTATCTTTTTTTGAGACAAGGTTTCTCAGGGTTCCTATAGCCCTGGCTGTTGGTGAACTGGCTCCGTAGACCAGGCTGGGCTGGAATTCAGACATCTGCCTGCTTCTGGCCTCACAAGTGCTAGGATTAAAAGTGTGTGCCACCACCTCTCAGCTTTTTGTTTGTTTATATTTTGTCCCATCTCCAACCCTCCCCACCCCCCCGTTCCTGGTGCCCTGTCCCCAAGACAAAGTCTTACTATGTTGCTCTGGCTGGCCTTGAACTCACTCTGCACACCTGGGTTGGCCTCAAAATCACAGAGATCCACCTGCCTCTGCCTCCCAAGTTCTGAGATTAAAGGCATGTGCTACTACACCAACCCTAAACCCCAGCTATCTTTCAAAGTTCACTACCCCAGATTAGAGAACGCCAAGTTCACAGGGAAGTCCTTCTTGAATCTGTCCCCTATACCTCAGTTACAGGTGGTAGCAATCATATGAGAATGAGTCAGTCTCCCCAACTCAGCCCCCCTGCATCCCCAATGCTGCTAAATCAAAGGAGGGATGTTTTTAACTTTAAAACAATTTTTGTATAAATTGGTGGTATGTATGTATGTATGTATGTTGTATGTTGTATGTTGTATGTGTACTACTTTGATACATGCAGAAGAAGGAATAAGATCTCCTAAGCTGGAGTTACAGCTAGTTGTGAGCCTCCTTGTGGATTCTGGGAATCAAACACGGGTACTCTGGAAGAGCAGCCAGTGTTCATAACTGCAGGGCCATCGCTCCAGCCTCTAAACGAGATTAAAGTGTCAGGTGTAGGCAGGTCCTTCAGGCTGAAGTCTGGAACACGTGAGTGTTTGGGCCAAGTTCTCTGAGGGGCATTCAAATGCTTGTGTAGAAATAGGTAACCCCACAATGGGAAGTGGGGATCTGGTTTGGAGTCATTCTCTGGTTCAGTACAAGCGACATTACACTGAAGGCTTGGTTCATGGGACTCAGGCCTCTCCAAGGCCTGGTGTGGGGTCTCACCAAAGCCTGGCCAACACCACACAGTGAAGTGCTTTCAGAAGAGGATGCCAGGGAGGGGCCAGCAAAAGAAGGGAGGGGTGGGGCACTAGGTGATTCACTCTCTCAGCCTCCCACCCCAGGGCTCAACTGCCATCAGAACCGAGTGCCAGAGATGTCACGGACCCGTGTGTGTATGTGTGATGGTGTGTGTAACTGTGTGGCTGAATGTGGTAGGTGTGTAACGATGTGTGCATGTGATTCCCCGTGTCTTGGGCGTGGCTCTGTACATCGTGTGGGAGCTATGTAGTTGTGGCCTCACGTGACTGTGTGGCTGTGTGTTTGTGTGACCATGTGCACAAGAATGAGTGTTATTTGTGCTGTGTGTGTGTGAGTCCCAGAGACAGGTTCTGAGAGCCAATGGGTGCTGGGTAGATGGAGACAGAGGTGGCTGTCCACATAGCTGTGGTTTACTGCCCATGATCTGTGTGTGATTGTATAGAGTCAGCTGTCATGGATGCATATGGCCATGTGGGACCCTGAGATGTCTGTCTGCACGTGTGTCTGAGAGTCTGAATGTGCTCGCTTCAGTCTGACCTTTCAGAAGCCACTGTTTGGTGGGTCTTTGGGTGTCATGGCTTCAAGTCAACTGTGTCACTGTGCACTCCTCTGAGGGACTCAGTTGGTCACTGTGTGACTGTGACTGTATGTGACACCTTCCTCAGGTGCCTTTGATGTGGTTGAGTTTCTAGGGGCCCATAAGGATGCTGCCTCACTCCTGAAGACCTCAAACGATGCTGATGCCTTCAGCACAGCCTGGGAAATCCCTGTCCCCCTCCCTACCCTTCTCCATTCCTCAGGAGCCTGCTTGTTTTCTGGTTTTACTGCCTAGGGTGAGTTCATGGCCACAGCTGACTCACTACTCTTTCCTAGAGACTTGAAGGATTTGGGATTTGCTTGGTTTGGGGCTTTGCTTAAAAGTGTAGTCCATTAAGTGCATGGCCAAGGACACCAAGGGCCCTGTGACCATGAGAAGCATCTCTCTGTCACCTTCTAGTTCCCACCCTCCTACCCTAAAATAGAAGCCTCTCTCCTCCTCTGAATGTTCTCCCTCCTAGTCACAGGCCTCTGAAGGGTGCTGGAGAGGTTGGATGCCACATACTTGTTCCCGGACCCATCTTCCTATGGGTGATTCACAGTGCCAGGTGCCAGCAGGAGCTGCAACTGTACTGTGTGAGCGCCCCCTATGGGCAGAGCTTGCCCTAGTGAAAGCAAGGAGAACTTTGGAGACTGTCACAGTTGATGGAGAGGAAGACATGATCCTTGTCCCAAGCTTCCTTTAGTCTCATAGGGGACTCAGAACTCCTCTCAGGACCCAGGTCTAAGACAAAGAATCATACAGTTTTCTGGACTGGGGGAGGAATCCTAGAGGCTTCTGGGAGGGGCTCAGGGCCCTTTGAGACCTACTAAGAGAGAGAGAAAAAAAATCCAGGAGGGTAACTGACTAGGACCTAGGGAGGGATCTTAGAAGGCCTAAAAGATTGGAGAAGTAGAGAAATTGAAAGATTCTTGTTCTGTGTGGGATGACATGGGAGGGCTTGGACTGAATCCAGTCTCCAAGGCAGAACTCTGCCTAGGGCAGTCTATGGATGGGAAGTCCCCCTGTTATCTACCTGATGTCTCTCCAGCTGCAGTTGACATGCAACCACCTATGTCTCATTTCCAAGGGTAAATTTGAAGACTGGAGCCTCCCTTTCCCCCTTGCCTTCACCTAGGCAGCCAGTCCAACTGTGCTCTGAGCTAGCCCGCAGGCCCTACTCTCCCCATGTCCACCCTGAAGGTGTTTCTGCCAGGCCCTTGCCAAACCAGTGGCCAAGGCCATGAAAACTTCTGCCTCCACCATCCTGACCCACTGCCTCTGCGGTTCCTTCCAGCTCCTGGGACAGGCTAACTCAGCAGATCAAACCCTCCCTCCACCTGGCTCTAGCCCCAGACTCCCTCCATTCCAATTTAGGGGTATTGGGAAAACAGAAAAGTTAAGAGGCTGGGCTCTGGGCAGTTTCTGGCTGAGGTCTAACCTCAGTTTCCCAGTAGACGAAACAGAGATCTGGTGTGTGGCCTGCTGGGTTCCCAGGGCTCATAGGGAGGCTCCAGTGAGCTCATGGGTGTGAAGGCCCTAGTGAGCCGTAAATAGTCCAGTGCCCGTGGGAGGGAAGGGGCTATGTTATTCCAGCTGGCCTCAGCTACCCACAGGGAGGCTAACCAGTGGGGCTGGGGAACGGGCAGGGTCTCTGAGTCAAGTGACAAGAATGGTAGAATCCAGGCTGGTACCTCACTGAGCACTGTTAGGTGCCGATCAGACCTAAGGGCTAACTGCTGTGTGACAGCTGCAGGGTCTGTGACATGGGGACTCTGGGCAAATCATTTGGCTATGTGACTGACGAAATTACTTTAAAGGGAGGGGGTGTACCCAGAACCCCAAGATCACCAGAGGTACCACTCAGCCACCGAGGGTTCTGCCATACGTGCCTATTACCCCAACACTCAGAAGCTAGGGCAGGAGGACCGAAAGTTCCAGGCCAGCCTGGGCTATATAACATGACCCTGTCTCCAAAATAGTAATTAACTAATTAAAAAATTAAATAAAGAGCAAAGAAAATTCTAGAGCTTCAACCAGTCTGCTTGGAAGGTCTTGCTGCCTTTCTCAGGCCTGTTTTAAAAAAAAAAAAAAGGCTCTAGAGCCTTCTTCATCTTCAAATGGGCAAACCAATGCCCTCCCACACTCTCCTCACTGCCCCAGACTTCCACCTCAGAGCCTGTGAGTAGGCTGCACCCCTTTGGAATGCCTTCCCCAGACCACACCCCTCCATGCCTCCTCCAAACCTTGCCCCACCAGCTTCTAGCCATGTGGTGTCGGGCAAGTCACAGCACCTCTTCAAGCCCCCATCTTCCCATCCGTAAAATGGGATTGTTACTACCCCGCAGGGTGGTGGGGACCAAGGAGTGGCTTGTGGAGTCCCAAATCCAGTTTCTGGTGTCAGGAAGCCCAGTTCCTCACGCCTCTAGGAGACTTTCCCACACCTGCCCTATGTATTTCTGTAGAGTTTAGATATCTTGTTACTTCCTGACTACTTAGCAGAAACTTCTGGGGAAGCTCATACTTCGGAAACATGCCAATCCGGGTGGGTATAGGAGGTGAGATTTGTAGACATGGAACTAGCCAGCCACTCTGACGGCACAGCTGTGGTGCCTGGCTGCAGCAGAAAAAAACAATCACAACAGAAGCGATCCAGGAAGGCTTCCCTGCAAGACCCGCAAAGTAACAAGTCACAAAGTAACAAAGTAACAAGAAGGGCAGCTTGTCCAAGAGCATGGCCGGATGTGTTCAATGGGTACATAGAAGAGGAAGTAGGGGGTTGGAGACTGGATTCAAAAGGTCAGCACAAACACTGGAACCTCCTGAGAGCCAGGCAGAGGAACCTGCATCCATCAGGTAGAAAAGAGGGCCTTGAGTTCCTGAGTAGTGGAGTAAAGGTTGAATGAGCCCTCCCTTATGAAATGAAACCTGCTTTCCAGAATTTGGCTAAGTGCTTGTTAGGTCTTCTCCTTTAGTCTTTGAGCAACCTGATGAAATAAACACCATTATTTCTACTTATCCAGGGAGAAATAGGGACGGTTACATTCTCTAATGTCATAGAATAAAAAGAAAGTGGGATCAGTGGGAGTGGCACTACCTCCAGCCCATGCGCTTGCCAGTACAGCAACCTGGATGGAGTCTCTGACAGAGGGTATCAGTAAGAACATGGGGCCTTTCTTCCCCACCTGCCCTGACTATCCTCTGGTGGGTTTGCTCTGAGGTGTCTCTGCCTGAAGAGATGAAGAACCCTGAATTGAACTTGCTTTCCATCTGTTGATGAGATGGAGAGCCGAGTGAGTGAGAGGGACAGCCCTGCCACCCCCAGAGAAGAACGGGGAAGCTACAGTGCTGACCGCAAGCAGGGTGAAGTCCTGGGTTGCAACCTGTGGCCTGATACAGTGGCCAGGCAGAAAGAATCTCCTGCATTGGGAAGCCAGTCTCCAAGCTCAGGGGAGGTGCCTAGCCTCGGGACTTAAACAAGCACTGTCTCATCTGGATGGTGGGCCTTCAGAGAATAGTAGATCGTGTGTGTGTGTTTGTGTGTGTGTGTGTATGTGTGTGTGTGTGTAGGATTCTGCCTCGTCTGCATATCATACAGAGTCCTATGTTCTAAGGTGGTAGCAAGACACAACAACTCCCCTCTCCCCACCAGCCCTCTTCCCAAGTGACTGTCATTCCTCCCTGAATTCCAGTAAGGTGTCCCTGGGAATTCTCTCTGTAC